AGGGAAGGGAAGGGAAGGGAAGGGAAGGGAAGGGAAGGGAAGGGAGCTGTGCTCCTGCCAGCAAGGGCAGCTCTGAGTCTCAGCATGCTCAGAAAAAGCCCCAGGGAAGCTGCTGTGTCTCTCCTCACGGTGCCAGTGGCAGGGAGGAGGGGGTGATGAGAGCTTGGGCAGCTGCTGCTGGGCTGGGAGCCCTGGGGAGGTGATGGAAGTGGAGCAGGGTTGGAGCAGACCCAGAACTCTGCCTCCCCCTGACCCTGCCACCCCAACCCACCTTGTGCCATGTGTGAGCAAGGCTCCCAAAACTCACTGCTCCATCTGAACAGCTCAAGCTCCCCCTCAAAACCACCCCTGAGGCTGTGCTCTCGCCACAGTGGCTTTCCTTTGGCCAGCAGGAATTAGACCTGATTCTGTGCCCAAAAGCCACCTGTCACCTCAGCACAGAGCCAGCCTGGGGAGGGCATTGGCAGAGACCTCACAAGGCCCTGGGGAGGGCTGCAACCAGAGGAAACCCTTCCTGCAGAATATTTTGGGGTTTGAGGGTTTTTGTTCTCAGTTACATTCTCATTCAGATTCCCATCTCAGTGCTGCAGATCAGATTATTCAGATTATTTTAGAGATTCACAGAATATTCGGAGCTGGAAAGGACTCCTAAGGATCATCCAGCTCATCCAGCAGTGGATCCTGAGAAAATAAAAATACAGGGGCATGGCAAAAATATCCACAGCATGAAAATCCACCTCCTGGTAATTAATCTAAGGAACATCTTGGTTCTGCAGTTGTTGGTGGTGATGCCTGGTGTTCTTCCAGTCCAGGGGTTTTCCAGATGCCTTGATGTCACATCTGGGGTGCCAGAACTGATGCCTGGAAAGGCTGACCTGGAACAGAGATTAGACAGAGTAAAAGGGATTAAATAGGGATTTATTGAAAGGATTCACCTTGGGCAGTGCAAGAGCCCGGCCAGGGCTACACCCAAATCAAATCTGGGATGGATCCTGGTCACGAGTTTTGACACTTTTATAAGTTTTGGTTCATCTGCACATTGGGGTCAGTTATCCACCCACAGCCCCAGGCTATGAAGTCTCAGCCCCCCTGGCTTTTCCCTTTCCCTCGCTGTTGTTTCTGCTTTTTGGGTACCAGGTGTCCTCGATTCTCTGGCTGGAAAGGAATTGTTTTGTCACTGCCCTGTGAAGAGAACTCACTAACACCTAATATGAAGTTACAAGTTCCACACTAAGCAGCAGAGATTGTGAAAAATAGAAAAGCTAAAACCCAAGGCATCATTTGCAGCATCCTCAGGGCCTTGTGAGACCTCAGTGTGGCCCCAGCAGAGGCCACCTGGAGCAGAGGTGCCCTGGGGGAGGGCAGGGAGGTGTCCCCTGAGTTCATCTCGTGTCACCAACCCCGACCATTGCACCAACTTCCTGTAAAAAGAGATAATTAACACTCATTTGAATAAGCCCCGCTGCTGTGGCAGGGGGGGGAAGGTGCTGCTGCACCCACGGGGTTTTCTGGGTGGAAAACTTCAGCTGCTTGAGGTTTCTGTGACTGAACAATTTCTGAACTTCTGACATGGCTTTATGTAACAGCTCGTTCTCCTCAGGAGCTGAAAGTGACTCTGGGGGGTTGGACAGGACCAGCCTGGTCCCCTCTGATGGGGGCCAGAAAGGACAGGGATGGGGCTGGATTCCTGCAGCTGGAGGAATTCCCATTATCCTGGGAAACCTGTCCCTTGATTTTTCTCCCCAAGAAGAAGAATAAAATAATTTCAGAGAAGCATGTAAAATGTTCTGCAGGTACTCCAAAGGCATCAAATCCAGGTGCTGCCACATGTTTGTGGGTATTGGTGATGCAGGGGGGAGAAGGAGCCAAGAATTACATTTAAAAAACATTTTTAGAAATGACTATTTTATTATATACAACTGGAAATAAAAAAATAAATATTTTTTTCATCACTGTGAATTGTGCTTTGTGGTTTCCATGAATTATCAGTGCTTGCTCAGCCATCAGGCACTGGCTCAGATTCCTGTAGGGAAGAGGTGGTGGAGTTTTCTTTTATTATATGAAAAAGCATTTGAAAAGAAAAACTGCTTGTGTTCTGACACTCTGGGCTTCACATCATTTTCCTGCAATGCGTGTGTCCCTTATATAAATTATAAAACAACATTTGCATAAATTAAAAAATTATACTGTCACAGTATTTTACATTTCCAAATGTAACGTTTCCAATGTTCCCAGAAAAATAACATTTTACAAGAAGGTGCAATTGAAATACCAAAGTCAAGCCCGAAGTCTCTGTGGTTTGAATTTAAAGCAATTATTATTTTTTAAAAATCCACCTTTGAGCCTTTCTTAAAAATCTCTCATGGCACCTTTGACTTTGCTGCCAGGGAGTTCCCATTAGAGCAAACTTTGTTAAGGTTTGGATCCTCTCTTTGAATCCTGCTGCTGTTAATGGGGAGTGGATGTGATGGCTGTGGGTCAGTTATCAGTGAAAGGGAAATGATTTGCCCCATTTCTGGTGAAAAGAGGATCTGAAAGGCTTGATGGACACCTGGTTCGAATGAGCAACCTCCAAGCACAGCCCCTGGTTCCAAACCCCAGGCTTGGCTCTAACCCTTGGCTTTGCATCCAGAAGTGGGAACTGATGGCAGAAAAATAGTGTGTGGGAGCTTCAGTGAGTGTGTGATCTGGGGTGATGGCGTTTGCTACACCCCCCAATGAAGCTTCATTAATTGTTTAAATGAGAAATCCTTTGGGGCCACCTTCTGCTCCTCACTCCATGCTCAGCGTGGCTGGAGCAGCCTCTGGGCACCCTCTGGACAATCAGTCTCTGCTGAATTGTCTTGTGCTTCAGAAACGGAGAATATTGTGGCATCCAGTACTTTTTAGGAACAAATTCCTGCACAGCAAGACCCCAGAATCTTTGTTGTTTCTCACCGGCCAGGACATGGCTGGGTGATGCCACAGTGGGGTGTGGTGTCACCTCTCCCATGGTCAGTGACCTCCTGCTGCCCAGTGAGGAATGAAAATGCTCCTATTTATATTCAGTGAAAATCTGCACCTGAAGTATTAAACCAACAGATTTTTGGTCAGGTTTGGTTTTTGGTTGTTTGTTTTTGTTTTGGTTTTTTTTTTGGGGGGGAGGGGGGTGGTGTTTATTCCAACCCTCACCAAAAGCACAAATTTGAGTCGTTGTTCTCAGCGTCCTGAGGGAAAAAAAAAAACTGTGGCAAAGGCCAAAAATTCATGACTATTGGAAGTGCTGGCAGCTGTTTGGCAAGGGCAGCTCTAGTATTCCGTGGTGTCCTCCCTGAGCACGTCCCTGGAGTTCTTCCTCCAATAGCTGGGGTGCTGCAGCTGGATGCTGTCCTGCAGGTCCTGCCTGGAGAGGCGTCTCCTGAACTCATCCGTGGTGAAGTAGTAGATGATGGGATCCACGCAGGAGTTGAGGCTGGCGAGGCACAGAGCCACGGCGTGGAACACCGAGATGGGCACGCAGCCCTCCCGGATCTGCCCGGTCTTCACAAAGAAATCCAGGGGGAAGCTGATGTGATAAGGTGCAAAGCAGATCAGGAACACCAGGGCGCAGGTGAGGATCATCTTTAAAGCCTTTTTCTTCTCGCCCAGGTCCCGGGAAGCAGAGTGCCTCTCTTTTAGTGATAAGATTGTCTTCCAGGAGCAGTACAGGATGATGAGCAGGGGGGTCACGAACCCCACCAACTCCCCGATGGTCATCAGCGTGATGGAAGTGGGCAGGTCGAGTTTCTTGATGGGAAGATCCACAAAACAGGCGTTTTTTTCCTGCTGGTGCTGCATCCTGAGGAGTGGGAAAGGCAGGCAGCCCACACAGACCACGACCCAGCCCACGATGCTGATGTAGACATCACAGACACGCCTGCAGTCACTGAATTTGAAGGGGTGCATGAGGAACAGGTACCTCCTCACGCTGATGCACACCAAGAAGTAGATGCTGGCATACATATTGACGTACTTCAGGTAGAAGCAGAGCATGCAGAGACCTCCTCCAAACTCCCACGTGCCTGTCAGGTAGTAAAAAATCCTCAGGGGCAAGGACAGCACCTGTGACAAGTCAGCAATGGCTAAATTGATCATAAATATCACGGCCCTTTTAGTCTCTCTCATGTAGCCATAGAAGACCCACAAGGCCAGGGTGTTCCCAATGAGCCCGGGGATCAGGATCACCGTGTAGGTGACAGCATAGTAGGGTTTGAGGTCTGTCTCATTGCAGTAGGAGCTGTTGCTCATGGTTGTGTTCCAGTTCTGTGCTCAGCCCTGGCATCATAACTCATCCATCCTGCCTGTCCTGCAGCCAGGGTGGCCTCAGCATCCAAAGGGAACCGTCCAGCCCCGGAATCCGTGTGGGAGGCTCCAGTCACCAGCTCATCGTGGCGGGTTTTGGCATGCAGGGAGTTAATTCCAGTCCTGCCTTCCTGCCCTGCTCATGGTCTTGGTCAGAGCTCGCTGGGGTCACCTGCAGGATGGGCAGGAGGGATCCACACCTGGAAAAACATCGCTGTGTGCCCAAGGGGACAATTCCTCACCAGAGCTGTGTCCCTGTCACCTTTTGGGTGGCATTTCAGCCTCTTCTCTCAGCACAGGGGTTCAACAGCTGACGTGGCCCCGCAGCTGGAAGACACAAAGTTGGAGAATTGTTGGGAGACAGGGGAAGAACAGAGGCGGACTTACAGGAGAGCTGGAAAGAGCTGGAGCATCTCTCCAGCAGAACCCTGAGTGGCTTTGCTGGTGATCAGCTCTTCTGCTGCCCAGCAAGCAGCACGCCCTGCCCAGTGCAGGTGCAGAACCACCAAGTGATAAATAGGAATTATGTTCATTTTCTGCTGCAAACCTGGGGGTGTCGCTCCTCCTGTGTCCCAGCACGTGGTCAATGCTGAGATACTCCAAACCTGCTTCCCTCCCTGGGAATACTCTCACCTCCCAAAAACTCCAGAGGGGAACACTCCCCTGGCTTCCCAGGAGGGCTCTCAGAACATTGCCACCCTCCCCAGCTGCAGGTGACAGAAGGAAATCTGCTCCTCCTGTATCCCATGTGCACACAAACCTTTCCCCTAGTGCAGCCACTGCTGCTGTGTCGTGGGGTAGGAGTCCCAGGCCAGTGGCTTCCACCAAAGCAGGGTCAACTTTTTAATTTCACTTTTAAAAATAGGACATAAACCATCCTTTGCAGAACAACCTGCCTTTGGTCCCAACTTGGCTTCCTCACAGCTGCTTTTTCTAAGCCTGTCCTTACCCATCGTGCACATCTTGGGCTGTTGGTAATACCAGAACTGGTACTAAGGAGACTGGAGGTGGATTTTATTTTAAATTTCAGGCCAAACAGGTGATGTTATCTGAATGTGTCAGACACAAAAACCTCAGCCAGATCTGATAAATCTAGAGGAAATTTGGATTTCTGCCTAAACCCTCTCAGGTTTGCCTTTGGCTTCCACATGAAGAATTATCCTGCAGGTCTAAGTGGGAGAAGTTTGTAGGTACCAACGCAGGTGCCAAAGGCATATTTACTTAATTTAAAATGTTTTCATTTTTAATTGTTTTTTAAATTAAATTTTAAAGGCAAAATGACATCTGCTGCAGTCCCTCCTGATTTGTTTCCAGTGCTTAGGTACAAAATGTGGACACTTACTAAAGATATTCAACACTTGCTGGTGTGATGGAACCGAAACTTTGAAGAAGTTCTGTGTGGAAACAGAAAATCTGCCACAAAAGGAAACATGTCTATTTTAGTATTTTCTCTCACTAAGGAGACTGAAATGTCTTCCTTTCTTCTAAAGAGAGAGCAGATAACTCAAGCAGTGGGGTAAAATGGCTTGTGAAATGATCCTGTTATGCTTCAGAAGTGACAATTAATAATATTTTTATTTTAACAATTTTTCTTATCCATTTAAACTCGCTTGTCTCTCCTCTCCTGTTGGTAGGGGCTCCTGTCACCCACTCAGGGAGACTCAATCATGCTCCTTTTCCTCTGGCTGCATTCCCAGGTGGGAAAACCCACCTTAACTCCATCTCTGCCGTGGGACACACAGAGGGAAGGACAAAGTGCACCTCCAGTCCTTCCACACGTGCACATCTTATTTTTCCTGCTCCCCCAGCTCCTGCCCTTCCCCATCCCCATCACACAGAAACTTCCCTGGAGCTCCATTCCCTGCTGCCTCCAGCCTGGCCCTGGGACAGGGGGGACGCTTGGAGCATTTTCTGCCTCTCCCTGTGGCACGAGGGGTCCCCGAGGTCCAGCTGAAGGTGGGGAGCAGTGAGAGGGCTCGGCCAGGACACCCAGAGATACCCTCAGAGCTGGGGAGGGGCTGTAAAAACTCAGCGATGTGAGAAACAGCGCTTTGGAAATCCCAAGCAGCAACATCACAGAGTTCAGCCCCATGTGCTGTGTAAAAAACCAGCAGGATGCTAAAAAAATCTCCAGAAAGAGGAAATTTGGGTTTGCATGCCCTGTGCTTGCTTCCCCCTCACTGTGAGGGGTGGGTGAGAGACTCTCCACAGGCACAGCCTCCCTCTCCCCCTGAACAGCTTTCCTCCCTGATTTTTTCATGGGTACCCCCCAAATCAGCTACACTGGGGCACTGGATGAAGATTTGTGCCTAATGAGTCAGAGCAGCAGCTAAGAGTAGCAGGCAGCCTAAAATCAGCGAGTTAGAGCTGGCTACATCCTGGGTAAGGCATTTTCCCTGTGCTGGAGGACAGCCAGGTATCCAGTGCTCCATGAGAACACCTGCAGGGGCTGGGGGGCAGAGCCCACCTGTGAGCAGGGTGAGGAGCTGCTCCCCCAGCCTCAGCACAGCTCGGCAGAGCTCGGGCTCCTCACCTGAGGCTGCCTTAGAGGTGTCCAGATCCTGGGGGTTTAACCCACAGCAGCTCCTAAACCCAGCTGGGTGGGGGAAAGAGAATTTGAGAGCAGCTCCTGGCTGGGCTCGATTTTTGGGTGCTGTCCCTGCCTCGTGCCTGAGCCCTCTCAGAGCTGGGATCTGCCAGTGGCTCCTGCTCCTCCCTGGAGCCAGGTGATGGATGGATCCTGCACCTCCTGCTCTTGCTGCTGGCCCAGGTGAGCTGGGGGTGCTCAGTCCCCTCGTGTTCAGTGTGGGGACGTGTTTTAAGAACACATAAAACCTGTGCCAGGGGTGACAGGGGCACAGCAGCCCCCCCCCCGGTGTCCCCTGCTCACTTACCCTCCTGGGGGAGCTGGGCTGGGCTGTGCCTGGCACCTCTCTTGTGTTTTTCCTTCTTCTCCTTCACAACCTAAAATAAAAGCAGAACATGCACAGGGGAAACATCAAATGGAAATTCAGTTTCCTGTGCGAGTGAAGGCAGGGTGAGGGTGGCTCTGTCCCTCCAAAGGGGCCCTGGGGAGGGCAGAGCTGGCCCAGGGGTGGCCTGGGCTTTTCCCAGTGCCCACTTTGTTCTCTGGCTCACCTGAAATGGTGCTGTCCTGCTTTGGCAGGAAGTAGAATTTATGAGGTATTAGCTGAAAATAGAACTGTTAAAACCAGAACTGAATGTAGCATGGGGTTGGTTTTTTGTTCTTTTAACAAATGACAGAAGAGGCTTCTCTGCCTTGAAGTAGTTTCCTGGTAGATATTTGGGATTTATTTCTTTATCCATCAGAGCAGTGTTGCCCCTTGCTGTGCTAACTAAATTTCAAGAATATGAAGGGAAAAAAAATAAATGCTCTGGTTTAATGCCATGTGAAATACTCTGATTTTGCCATTTAATCCTTTGCAAAAGCTCTTGTCCTCCTTTGTTAATATTTATCCCGGTTAAGAAGGGAAAATAACCCGGAGCAGCAGTGCTGTGTGTCCTCCTAATCCCCCGCCCTCCTTCTCCCTTCCTGGCACACTCTGATGTCCCTGGGAGATGTTTCTGGCACCAAAGTTGTGAGATATCCCCCAGATTATCAGCCACGGCCCCCAGGGATGCACAGCCGTGTCCCTGTGCTGTGGTAACCCTGTCCTCCTCCTCCTCCTCCCTGGTTCTTGCAGTCAAATGGAAATCGGCCCATGGAAAATCAGTGTGGTGCCACTTGTGAGGAACACTTGGGAAAATTCATGAGGTAAATAGAGGGAGACAAACCCAAGGAAAACGTGGAGCAGTGGGAATTGGGTCAGTTATCCCTTTGTGGGGGGTGAGGCTGTGTGGCCTCAAAGGCCCCTTACTGATGAGTCCCATCCCAGGTAGGGCTGGGTTCACACAGGCTGAGAATCCCTGGAGTTGAGATTAATCTTTAAATTCAGCTGCTCACTCAATGATAGCAGAAAACACGGTTTGAAACTTCAAGGCTGGGTGTTTTAGCTTCAGCCATCCCCCTCCTCTCACTCGGATGCTCAGAGCATCCCATGGGCACACACAGCAGCTCTTCAATAAATGAATTATTACCTCCTTACCTATAGCTGGGCTTACTCTGCATCTCCTCCCTTCTAACTAATTCTTCTGGGAGTTTCCAGGTCCGTGGTGAAGGCAGGACCCCCCTGGCTGTCCCTGGGCTGTCCCATCCCCTCTCTCCACTCCGGGCTCAGCCGCACCAAATCTACCGCCCAAAAATCCAAAAGAACCCAGCGCAACCCGCCCAGCCCGACCCGAAGGAAAGCGGGAGGGAGCAATGCCAGCCCTACCTTTGCTGGCCCCGAGGCTGTCCCGGTGTGTCTGCAGAGGTCCCCAGGGCTTGTCCCTCCCTCGCTGAGCAAAGCAAAAGCGCAAGTGCCGGGGAGCGGCTGCGCCCTGCGGAGCGGGACGGGCACGGCGGGGCCCCAGCACCGCTCCGGGGTGTCCCTGCCCTCCTCCCGCCGGGAATCGCCCGCTCTCCTTCTCTTCTCGTGGTTTTCAAGATGTTTGTGGGGGTGTTGGGGGTCTCGGGGTGTTTTGATGCTGTCGCGGTCTCGGGGTGTTTTTGGGAGCTGTCGCTGTCGCGTTGGTGTCACCCCAGGAGCTGTTCCTGCTGCCGGGGGTGGGGTTGGGACCCCTCAGCCCCTGGGGACAGGGACCCTCTGGCACAGCCCCTCTGTGACAGGTGCGGAGGCAATGAGAGGATTCATCAATTCTTTTCCTTCACTCTCACCTGGATTTTTGCGCCCCCTGCAAAAACCCCTGGATTTTTGCAATCCCTGCTCCCAAGTGATTTGGGGGCTTTAGGGTCCCCCCCCCCGAAGCTGATCGTGAGCAGATTTGGGCTCCCCAAAAGCAGCGAGTTCTCCGCAGTCATTTTTATCTCGTTCAGGGGATTCCCACAGATCTCATGGAGCAAACCCGGGTGAGAGCCGAGGGCTCTTCTTTTCCAGATGTGCCATCAAGCGGTGTCACCTACGGCCACACTCCTGGCCCATCGTGGCCCCCGGCCATCGGCAGAGGGCAGAGCTGGCTGCGCTTTGAGCTTGAAAAGCAACATTTCCCTGCTTATCCAGAGGAGGATTCCAGCTCAAGGAACATCAATAAGAATTCTTGTTAAGGGAGCAACGATTCAGTTGGTTAATTTGAACAAAAGTGACTTTGCTAACCGTTTCCAGAGAAGCTCTGCAGAGATTTGCAACTTTGCAATTTGCCTTTATTCATTTTTCTTACACATCTTCCCAGGAGAACAGCATATATATAAATATTTTATTACACCTGCTCCTTTAAAGCATCGATTTCCTCATATCACAACTCCAGCTTAGGGTTTGTAGCTCTCCACACTCCTTTTTATGATGATTTACAGGAGATTAATGGCTCTTACGGCCTTGCAGGGCACAGGGTTTGTCACCCAGTGGTGGCCCAGCCCCTCTCTAAGGCTCTGTGGACCACATCTCCCAAAAATGCAGCTCTGTGCCTGCTCCAGCAGCTGATGCTCCTGCTGGTTAAAGCTTCCAGCTTTATTCTGAAGCTGCTGATGTCTTGATGTTCTTTAATTAATGTGGGAGCCAGAGCTTTCAGCCCTGTGGGATCCTCTCTGCAGCTGTTCCTGTGGTGCAGGGCTGGGTTTTGGACTGATGTTTTTGGGCTGGCAGCAGTGGGGTTGGGGTTTGGTGCTGACAGGGGCTCCTTGGTGCTGTGCCCTCAGCAGAGGATGCTGTCTCTGCTCACATCAGTCCTGGGATGTTTCCTTAATTTCAGCAGGATCTGGGATGTGAAACTCCCCCAGCACCTCCTACCAGCTACCTCTGCCATGCTCTCATTTATTTCCTCTCCCCAAAACCGTGTGATGTGACCCCACACAGGAGTCCCCAGGCTCTGCCCCTGCTCCACCAGCATTTCCCTGTGCGGCTCTGGTGCCTCCCTGCCTCCCACGAGGACTGAAGGATGGTTTGGAGGTGACTTTAATGGACAATAAAATTGAGGCCAGTGCCAGGAATCACCAATCCCGTGTGGCTGAGCAGCAGCTGGGTTTGGGGTTGGGCTCCTTTGCTTTTCCCACTGCAGCACGTGGTGGATTCTCAGTTTTGCACATTTCCACAGCAGGCAGCCTGGTCATGGGAAGGCAGAGCCTGAGCTCGGGGCAGGGAGTGGATGCAGGGTTCTGAGGGAGCTTTTGTTTCAACACCACCTTGCAGAGCACCCCCAAATCCTGTTTTGTTGGCACCGTGCTCTGTCTGCATTGCCACTGGCATCCATCCCATTTCCCATCACTCCAGGAGCATTCCTGGGGTGTGGGGTGGGAATTGAGGGTGCCTTTACCAGCAGACAAGTGCCAGGCTCTGAGTTCTGCTCTCCCCAGGGAAAACCCTGGCTGGACCTTCCAATCCTGCTGTAGTTGAGGCCACCAAAAATCGGGATGTCTTGGAGTTGGGCACCAAGTCACAAAGCAATTATTTTACAGCATAAAGTTAAATTTTAAAATTGTATTTTTCTCTTGTATTGATTATAAATTTTTTTCTTTACTTCCATTTATATCTTATTAGAATTGGGAGTTCTCAGTTTATCTAAGCTTGTGCTTTATGACCTTGTAGGAGCTCCTCAGAGAGAACCAGCTGAGGTCTTTCTGATCTGCACTGCCTGTCTTTGATAGAAATAATTCCTGGGAAGAGGTTGTCTGTCTGCTCTGCACACGGCTGGGGCTGTCCCAGGGGAGAGAAGCATGTCTGGAAAGGGGGAGCAGACACAGGTCCATGGATGCAGCTCCCAGCATCAGCAGGGCTCACGTGGAGCCAGGGATGCAGCCGTGCTGCTGACACCAGGCTGAGGGCTAAGAACTGCTGGATTTCCCTGCTCTGTGTGCCTGCAGCAGGGAATTCTCTTTAAAAACCAAAAAATCCCTGCGAAAGGAGCAGGGCTGGGCGATGCCGTGGCAGTGTCTGCAGGGAAGGATGTGCTGGCTGTGCAGGGATGAGGCTTTGGCTGATCCTTGGAATGCTGAGCACCCTCCCAGTGCTGAACACTGCCGTGGCATCCACACAGAATTCCCAAATCCTCTCCCCTGTGCCCTGAACAGGACCCTGGAGCATGGGAGAGGTGATGGACACACCTGGGGCTGTCACACGGTGCTGTCCCACCACACCCCAAACTTGGGCTTTGCAGGGTGTTGCTGGCTGAGCACACGAATCAAAAAATTGGATTGAGGTCTGATGAAATCATGGCTGTCTGGAAAAAGGCTCCCTGGCTTGGAGAGCCACTCCCTGGCTCGGCTGGGTTTGAAGCAGCAAAATTTGTTTCCAGTGTGTTGGAGTCGTGCTCAGGATTGGAGTTGTTGGTGTTTGTTCCTTTGCCAGGGACAGCACTACCCCTCTCCAGCACGAGGTGGGTGGGTGGAGAAGCTGCCCCTTGCCAGCAGTGGTGCCAAAAATCAGGAAAGGCTCGATTGTGAGGGCTCCACAGAGGCTGAGTGGTTTTCCAGAGGCAAAGTCACTTTGGGGCTGGACTGGGAGCATGTGGTCATGAAGGGAGGATAAAGGTATTTTTAGCAAGGAGAAAAGCAGCTCCCCTCCCTCCCTGTGGGGCCCTAAAAAGTGTCGTGCAAGGGACAGCTTGGATACTCCCAAGTACCACATAATTTTAGGGATATGTAAATGTAGGTTTAGATGGGATCTTGGGAAAAAATTGTTCCAGGGGAGGCCCTGGCACAGGGTGCCCAGAGCAGCTGTGGCTGCCCCTGGATCCCTGGAGGTGTCCAAGGCCAGGCTGGACAGGGCTTGGAACAGTGGAAAGTGTCCCTGTCCATGCAGGGGTGGGATGAGCTTTAAGGTCCCTCCCAACCCAAACTATTCCATGATGATCCTACTGGTAAAACAGGAGGCTGGAGGGCATTGGAAGAGCAGGAAGCACCAGTTTGTACTGGCAAAGGATGTTTCTTCAGGGATTGATTTACAGAAAACCCAGCAGAATCCTCCTTGCTATCCAGGGTGTCCAACCCAGCGAGAGACTTTTCTGCTGCAGGGAGGGTTTGAGTCTCCACGTGACCTCAGAGAGAGTTTTGGGTTTGCTCTTTCCTGTTCCCTGTTTGGAAGGGGCAAGCTGTGTTGCAGAAATGTCAGAAAAGCAATCTGAAAACAAACTGGCAAAGTCCCAGTGGGAACTGGAGCTCCTGGGAAACCTGGACCTGGTGCTGGCTGCAAAATTGGAGCCACAATCCAGGATTTGCTGTTGCTCAGGGTGGATTTATGAATGACCTGTCTGTGGTCATTCACCTGCATGTCCAGCCCAGCTCCTTGGGGTTGTGCCATTCCCAAAACACCCTGGAAAAGGCACAGTCCTGGTGAAGATCCTGCTGGTGTGGCTTGTCCTGTCTGAAGGAGCTGCCCAGAGCCAGTCCCAGCATCGGTGAGGTTTTTAGGGTTTCCTGTTTTGCCTCCACACTCTGCTGGGCTTGGGCCATCTGAAACAGCATTTTTCCAGCCCTGAAAGCTCTTTTTTTTCCCCCCAAGCAAACAAGGAAAACATGGCCTTTTGTTATTTATATTTTTTGTGAGAGGAGGAGGAGATTTGGGACAGAATGAGCCCCAGGGCAACGACTTTTCTGCCTGCTCCCCGGGGTTTTCTACCTGTCTCTGGAACTCTTCAAGTACCAAAGTAAATTCCTTCAGTTTGTCTGGATCTCCCATCTGGTCTCCCCTATCCAGCCTCAGAGCCCATTCTATGTTTTCCAGAAACGCTGCACTGAGTGGAAATGTGCATCCAATCATAGGAAAAGCTGTTTTCTATCAGTCCCTCTCTGCCTACATTTACTTTAAAAATTCCCTGAGAGATTTTGGGAAGGAGGAGACCTCAGAACCCCTGCACTGGCCACTCTTTGAGGCTTCTCTGAACTTCAGACTGGGGAGTATCTTCCAAATTGTGTCACTGCTCTGAAAGCAGATGTGGGGCACAATGAGAATATTTCCAAGCACCTAAAATAATGCTCCTGAAGCTCAAATACACATTGGGATCATTTTATTTCCTCAGAGTCTGAAGCTTTCAGGGTGTACTGGAGTCAGTTCTGTAAATTTTCTCAGTACCCAGTGGGGGTTGGGATGGTTTTTGGTGCTCAAAGCAAAACTGAAGGTTTGGATAACATCTTCATGTGCAACCACACGCGTCAGCAACACGACAATTAACACAAGACTCCAAATAACAACACAAGAGACACCAACAAGTCCCTGTTTTTGCAGCTCACAACAGAGCTGTGATTTCCTGTGCCCTGGCAGGTGGCACAGCTCCCTCTTTGTGGCATAGCTATCATAATTTGTCATTCAAATATCGATTCCCCATGATCAGTCTAGCAGCTGCAGCTCCCAGGGGCCAGATGGATCCTTTGGCTCAGCCCTGGGTGCATTTTCCAGCAGGTGAGCTGAGCCCAGTTTGTTAGAACCCTCCCTTATAACACTGATGTGATACAGGTTAATGCTCTTTGCTTGGTTATAGCCTTGCAGTCCAAATTAGGCTGGATTGGACCCAGGTGATGCATTTTTGCAGTGGGAAAGGTTCAGTTTACATGGAGATAATGAAGTGTCCTGATGCAGAGCCCCGTGTGAGCATCAGGGCTGAAATCCCCAGAGCTGTGCCAAGGCTGAGCAACTCACTCACAGCTCGGGGTTCAGAAGGATTCCCCAAAATGACAAATATGTAGAAGCACTGAAACACCTGAAATGAGGCACCTGAACCCACTGCAGTTCAGCACAGGGGAAACTTTGGCATCAACAATGACTTTTGAGGGGATGGAAGACAACAGTCCCCAGCAGCAACAACACAACCAGCAAATCTTTTGGCATCACAACGTCCCTATGGACCGGGTGCTGGCATCTGCAGCACACAAGGACAATTCCAGAGGGATTTGCAGAGCAGAGCAGCCCTCACTGCAGCTCCGAGCAGCCCCTGCACGGACAGGGCTGGCCGACGCTCAGGAGATGGACTCCAGCAGCAGCTCATCGGGCGGCACGGCGGGGATGTCCATGCTGTTTATTTGGCCGAAGAACTTGGGAAGAGACCAGAACTTGAGGCGAGGGAGATTCCTCTTCCTGACACGGATGTCGTGGGCAGTGTCGGTGGCCGAGGCGCTGCCCCGGCGGGGCGGGAGCCGCGCTCTCAGCGCCACGCAGCCGTGGCGGAGCAGCTGCGCCTGGAACTCGGAGGTCATGAAGTAATAGAGGACGGGGTCCAGGCAGCAGTTGAGGCTGGCCAGGCACAGCGAGATGGGGTGGAAGCGCAGCGTGCTCCGGTGCACGGCGCAGTCCCGGATGACGTTCTCGATCACCATCATGAAGAAGGGGAAGTTGATGTGGTAGGGCGTGAAGCAGATGAAGAAGACGGCGGCGCACATGAGGACCATCCTCAGCGCCTTCCTCTTCTCGCCGGCGTCCTGCAGCGCCGTGGGGCCGTCCCGCAGGGAATGCCACATCCTCCACGTGCACCAGGCGATGGTGCCGAAGGGGATGACGAAGCCAAACAGCTCTGCCACCGTCACCAGCGCGATGGCAGACCCCGGGCTGAGCTGCTTCACACCCAGGTCCGAGAAGCAGCTGTTGATGGAGTTGGACAGGGCTGGGCTCCTGACGATGATGAGGGGCAGGCAGGCGGCCCCCACCAAGAGCCACACCAGGGCGCTGATGGCCACATCATAGCGGCGCTTCCAGCCCTTGGCTCGGAAGGGGTGCAGCAGGAACAGGTACCGCTGGATGCTGATGCAGCTCAGGAAGCAGATGCTGGCGTACATGTTGAGGTACTTCAGGTAGAAGCACAGCTGGCACAGGACGTTCCCAAAGGGCCAGGTGTGGTTGATGTAGTAGTAGGTCCTCAGGGGCAGCGAGAGGACGTGGGCCAGGTCAGCCACGGCCAGGTTGATCATGAAGATGACGGCTTTGCTCTTCCTGCTGAGGAACCTGCACAGGACCCACAGGGCAGCGCTGTTGGCCAGGAGCCCCGGGATGAAGATGAGGGTGTAGGTGGTGGCGTAGAGGGTGGACTGGAAGGACATCTGGGGATCAGAACAGTTCCCGGAGGACACGTTGCTCTCCATCCTGGCCGGGTCTCCTCACTCATGGGGCGGTCACGGCAGGGGGAGGGGTTCTGGAATGGGTAAAAAGATGCTTTAAAGCCAAAATCTCTCAATACGTGTGCCTTAGGGCAGAAGAATCAGTCGTGTGTAAGTCAATGCGTGTGGTGGGAAGGGTGACCCCAGCCCAGGGAGTGATTCCAGGCATCCTCCACCCTCCCCTCGCAGAGATGCTCTGCAGAATCTCGTGAGATGCCCCAGTTACAGTGAATGGCCTGAGCTCTGTGACATCCATCTCTCGGTTGCCAGACAGCTTCTGCAGCTTCCTGGGTTTTCCAGGATCACTTTTAATTCATCAAGTTTTCCATCACACTCTGTCAAATTGGTGCTCCACATCTACAAGTACTTTCAGCTGGACTGTAAATAAATAGGGATTTGAAATGGATTTAGGCGCTGTCTTTGCAGATCCATGCAGGGATCTGATGTGAATCGGCAGCAAAGGCAATAATTAACATCCCCAGGCAGCAGAGGCCAGGGGAGAGCTGCAGACAGATCCATCAGCTCTGGCTCCAGAGTTAAGGCTGGATTTATAAGTTAATAACTGGCCAAACACACGCCAGTTGCTCTGCTGGTCCTGCTAACTCAATTCCGGCACTCCCGGCACATTGTGCTGGAGCAGCAGGAATTATCCCTCAGCAGCAGAATTATCCTCCAGCAACTGCTCAGGACATGCAGGGAGATAAATGCAACTCCCTTCTAGTTAGAGTAGAAATTCTTCTCCTCCATTTACCCATCCCAGCTCGCCCAGTGCTGAGGGGGTTTATTAGCGGGTCATGGGGAGTTCAGGTGCTCCTGCTGCTCTCTGGAGAGGTGATGGATTTTGCCATTCATGAGCAGATCCCACGGGAAGGAATCTGTTCTTTTGGGAAGAGGGGATTTGGCAGCAGCAGGATACAAACCTGGGGGCTGCAGCATTGTCTGTAACAAACAGTGGGACTTTTCCCTTGGAAATGGAGAGGTGGGCAGCCTGCCCTGCTCTTCCCTGCCTGGAGCTGGGGCTGGCAGAGCCCTCAGCACCTCCTGTCGTTGCCACCCAGCCCCTCATCAGCAGTCATTAATTAAGAATCAGCCACATTGCTGTTTCCCAGAGCCGGGTGTTTGTAACAGGGATGGATTTCCAGGAGTGAAGTCTCCTCCATCCTGCTCCTCCTCATCTGGGCAGCTCCTTTGGTGGCATTACCACATTTTCAGATTCAGGAGGAAATAATCATTTTAGATATTTTCTATTTTTATGTGCAGATAAATATCTAAAATACAGCCCCAGCCCCTCGGCTGGCTGCCCCCACCCTCACCTCTGATGTGAGCAGGGTCTGTGCTCACACCCTGCTTTCCAAGCAGAGACTTTTCCAATCTGCCTTCTTGCTTTTCCTTGTGGAACTGGGGTTGCTGAGTGAGGGCACCTCTCGGTTGCCGACTGTGCCAGAGGTTTGGGATTGCTCCACTGAGTTGGGAAAGGCAGGGGAGAGGGAACATCTGTGCTGAGGGAACACTGGGAAACAGCTCCTCGGTCCCTGCAGGATCCCTGTGCTCCTCACCTGCCCAAAAAATCCATGCGGGACTTGTGCCCTTTGCACTCAGCCTGTTTAACCCAGGGAAAGGGATGACAGGACTTGTCTTCACATCCCTGCAGAAAATAGAGAGGGGAAACTGCCAGGGAGCGTGGGGAATGCAGCTGTCCCCCCCTCCTGTCACAGCTGTCCAGTGACAGAGGTGGCACCTGGTGTGGGCTCATGGAAAGGGTCACAGAAGGTCCCCAAATCCTACACCTCTTCCGTGGGGAGCCTCCCTGCTTGTTTTTTCCATGATTTTGACTTTCCCTGGGAGCACAGCAGTGCCTGTTCCTGAGTGCCACTCCTGGTCCTGACACAGCTTTGGGTGGCAGCACTTTGGAGGGCAGTGGCAGGAAAGCAGCAGAGATCCCCACCCTGGGCTCGGGTCAGGCCAGGCTTGTTCACGACAACAATTCCTGGGAAATTGTGAATTTTTTATTGTTTTCCAGTTTCCCCTTTGCCCCATGTCCCTCCAGCTTCCCCCTGCTTTGCTGCTGTGTGAGGACAGAGATGCTCCTGTGGGCTCTGTCTGAAGTTTTGTTCAGTGCCTTTATAAATCTTCTATAAAATATTCCTGCCATTCTTTGATTATTTTCCCATTTCATCCACGCGTGGATTTAAACATAGGCAGGAGCAGGGAGTTTTTTTGTTCTTTTTTTGCAAAGCTGAGTTTTAATCAGCTGAAATTCCAGAAGGGAGCCCAATATCAGTGCCCGAGGAGTCAGAGCACCTACTGTGGATGCAGCCCCGCCATTCATTAAACATCAAATAACTCTGCAATTAATTAGGAGGCCAAGGCAGCTCTTGGAGCTCTCAGGGTTGATGTTTTTGGAGTGTTCCTGGAGGCGAATGTTGCTGTCATTGCTGGAAACCGCCCGGCTCGTGTGAATCAGCCCGTGCCCCACCCAGCCCCACACCACTGGGGTGTTCCTGCATTTGCTGCTCCCGATCCATTGGCAAACTCGCCCTCATCTTTTCCATGGGCTGCTTGGACAACCCAGGCTAAAGCTGAACTCCAGACATGGCTGGGGAAATCCTCCGAGCCGGGGGATGGGGACAGAGCTCCTTCCCTCCGGCGCTGGGATGCTGGAGGGAAGAGCAGGCTTGGGAAAAAAAAAAAAGAAAATAAAAAATAATAGATCCACTTATGGCTTGAAATGAGCTCTTGGTTTAAGTAGTGGAGTTTTCTGGCACCGGGGTTGTAAGCAATAATTTTGTTTGTTTAATCTAGGCACTAATAGGAAATGCGTAAATAAAGCTGGTCGCTTACTGCAGCCTCTGTCAGTAAGGACAAAATTGAGGTTTTTGGCTAAAACAGCCTCTCCCCACGTCCTCCTTCACACCACAGACACCGATTCGCCTCACCCACCCTCGGAGACAAATTTGTGACCACAACAGAAGCGGCTGAGGATGTTGCACCAGCTCCTGCCCGATACCATCTCTTGAAGAACTGCAGAGAAGCGATAAAGTTGCTAAAACTGCGCCAGTTTCGGTCTCCTGAAGAAAAGAGCAGAAATGCCACTCACCTTCCTGTGCTTCCCATGCTCGGGGGGGGTCATAGCCGAGCTAGGCAGCAGGAGCAGCCAGCGTCCTGCTTTTATTTCCCACTGATTTTCTCAGCCATCCCAGCGCCTCCTGCTTTGACTTCCACATGTTTTCGGAGCGCTGAAATCCTGCCGGCATCTGCAGCCCGGTCCGGTGGCTGCAGAACAGGAAATCCTGTATTTTGTTTCTCTTCTCCACACCAAACGTGAGCAGTTAATGACGTTTAAAGCCGCTGGGAAGGCGATGACGTCCTTTGGTGCCTTGGGATGGACACCACGGATTTCTGTCCCCTCTGGGCACAGGGGTTGTGGGAGGGGATGCTGCCCTTCCCTCCGGCTGCTCCTGCTCCTCTCCACGCTCACTTTGCCTGGGAAGAGCTGTAAAATACAGGAGCAACCTCCCAATAAGTGCTCGCTGAAGGAAAAGCGAGTGCTCTGCCAGTGTAAGTTACTGGAAGGGAGTAATTTTCCCTCATTTTCTTGGAAGCTTGGTTAGCCTCAGACTATCAAGGCTAAAGCTGGAGGGTTTGGACTTTATTCCTGAAATGACGTGATGGTTTAAGGTGGAGATTTTCCCAAAATACTGTTGTTTAAAAAACCCATAATGTGCATAATTCCCAATCTTCTTCTTTAATTCCTTTAACTCCCTTCCTCCTTTACTTCTCTTCCTACATATATGCACATACAGAGAGTTTTTAGCTGTTTTCCTGCCTGCTTAGCATGACCTCCTTTCTGCATGGCTGAAGAAGTGGTGGAACTTCATGGTGTGACTTCTGAGCTGCCTCTTTTTCAGCTGAGCAGTTTTACCTGATATCCAGGGTCACAGCTCATGGCTCAAGGCTTGTACAGATAATTTGGTTCTTGGCAACTTTCCCTTCCTGGAGGTGATGTAAAAATAGAAATATTCTTATGCTTTTTTTTTTTTGTTAACGGTTCTGCGACCTCACGAAATTGATGGGAACAGAACTGTGGAAGAGAAATGAAAGGAGGAAGATCTTACAAACTTTAGTTGCCAGCTCAGGGCTGGGATCAGGAGTGCACCAGAGCTCTGCCACCCACTCAGCTGCCAGGTCTCCTTGTTCCAAGAAATCAGGGAATCTGAGAGTGATTTGGACTGTGGACCTTAAAGACCCTCTGATTCCAACACCCCTGCCATGGGCAGGGACACCTCCCATTATCCCAGGTTGTTCCAAGCCCTGTCCAGCCCTGGACATTTATGGGGATGGGGCATCCCCAGCTTCTCTGGGCACCCTAAATCCCCATGGTTTTCATCTCAAAGGAGAATATTGGTTTTTGGGTTTTTTTGGGGGAGATGCAAGAGCTATTTGTCATTCCCAGTTTTCCTCCTGTGCATCTCTTCCAGCAGCTGGTGCTGATCCTGGGAAGAAGGAGCAGGGCTCGTGTGTTTGTGGAGCATTCAGAGACCACAGAAGGGAGGCTGGCACTGTGCCCTGTCCCTCTGCAGAGGGCAGAGGTTAATCCCAAAGTGAAGGGGCTGTTTTATCAGGACATCCTGCCTGGGACATCCTATTTCTGTGTCTGCAGCAGCGTATCCAGCCATCCCTGAGCCCTATTTTTAGGTGTTTGTTTCCAGCTGTGCTGCTGGGGAAGGAGAGATCAGTGGATGTCAGACCCAAGAGAGGCTGAGCCCTTCCTCTGCTCATTGGCTTTTTGGAGAACAACTTTTGCAGAAGATCACAACATTCCTGGCCATGAAAAGCTGAGGGATTGACAAACCTCATCCTTCAACACACACGGATCAACCTCTCCATTCTTCTTTCAACTTGGGCATGTTTTTGTTTAGCATTTCTGTTTCTCTGGCTCATCCCCAAAGCTAACGTGCCTTTCACACTTGGCAACGCTCTGCTTTCAAAGGCAGAAGACACAAAGGAACTTCTTAAATAACTTTTTTAATAACTGTGAGACTTTATCTAAGGACTCCAGATAAAGGTCTCTTCTCCTGCAGCCTGGCATCCTGTGGGCAGGGGGCCAAATGCAGATGATCAGCATCTCTCAAGTGCTCAGCGTTGAGAATATCTGACAGGATGCACCTGAAGGATGTATGAAAAGCAGGGGAAGGAGGAGGTTTGTTCACACAAAGCAGCTTCACCCTTGTGCAGGGAGCTGAGTGGGGCTGGGGGAGCCCCCAGCTCATTGTCCCTCTCGCTGTCACACAGAGCTCTCTGCAGGGACAGCATTTTGGGAAGCTCTGATTTATTTCACAGCAAATAATTGTCAATGCCTCCCTTGCTTTTTGGGCTAAGCCTTTGTCTAATCCACAAACCCAACATTTTTGGTTAAATCACACCAACCATCCTCAAAACCTTTTAAGTGCGATGAAGTGGTTTCGTGTTTTTGAACTGTGGAGTTGTTATCCTGCATTTCCAGCATATTTTGTTCTTTCTCTGGGCAGAGAGCTGGTAATTTCATTTAAAGGAATCAAGAGGAACTGCAAGATTCTGCAGCTCAGAACCTGAAGCTGCAGAAAAGCTTTAAATCTCCCCGGAGTTTTTTCCAAATATGTTTGTTCTCATGCACGGGAGGGACCTTTCATCTGCTCCTGGTTAGGATGGGGTAGCACTGCAGAGAAACACATTTGCTTTTGCTAAAAGGTGAGTGGCTCATGTTCTAAAGAAAAAGAAATGTGTTTGCCCAGGGCTGTGCCTTGGGGACGGGCACTGTGCCAGTGCAGGTGGCTTGGAGACCTCACCACGTCTCCATCCCGAACAATTCCCTTCAGGATGAGATGCTCCAACCCCTCTAACCCCAGGAGCCCTTCAGATCCATATTTCACACCCCTGTGGAGCTGTACCAAACCTCTTGATTTGGTTCAATTCTGCCTTTCTATGGCATTTATGTTAAAATGGCTTTTTTTGTGTCTGCCCAAGAAGGAGGAAAAGTCTTTTTCTACTCATGAGTCTGAGCAGCAGGACCAGCACAAGAGATAATCCAGGAGCAACATCACGAAATTATATTTCCTCTTGTCAAAATAATAAACATGTTTTTTGGTCACAGGAAATGGGGTGAATTACAGGAACCTGAGCCAGGCTTGTTGTGCCTCTGACTGTGTGAGGCAAAGCAGCCCCTGCAGCCCAGGTCCTGGGTCAGATCCAGCACCAGCCAGCTGGGAAGGCAGCTGGGATACTCTGCTCCTCCCTGCAATGCCTGTTTTGTCCTCTTGAGATGCACGCTGAGGTTTTGGAAGGTCTGAACTAAAAGGTTTGGATTTCATGTGTGGGTTTGTGGAGGCCAAATGGATCGTCTTGGACTTTCAGAGAACTGCAAGTTCTCCCTGATCTCTCTCTGCTCTGAGCTGTTGCTCTCTAGGCTGGCCCATCCTGACTGACTTTCCCTGGTGGTTTAACCTCATCTGGCAGCTGAACCCCACAAGGTTCACCTCAACCAAAACCAGGGCACTTTCTCCTACACCAGAAGAGACTTTTTTTTTTTTTCAGACAGAGTTATCTGATCCCCTACATCCAGCACGGGATTGAAAGTGTTGAGTGTGTGACCCTTCCTCACGGGCTGGGGCTGCAGTATGGAAGAGGAACATTTTGGGGAAGCTAAGGGAGTTCAGAGGGCGAGTGAGGCAGGAAAATGTGGGGAGCTGAGGTGATTGTAGGTGCTATCATGGAGATGGAGAATGTTATTCCTGATGGAGACACCGAATCCATGCTAAGGTAATGGGCAGGAGAGCCACTGTCCCTCCTGGACACTCTGCAGCTGGAGCAGGTATTCCCACGCCTTCTCCATCCTCCACTACCTAGGACACCTTCCCACCCTCAAAATACTTCTAAATCTAACAGAAGCATGGTAGATTAAAAATAAATAAATAAATAACCACTATTCAGAGTGAAGAAAACAAGCAACAAATCTGTTTAAGAATAATAAAAGTTGTGCCCCTTTGCTTGAACCCTGACCCCAGGAGGAGCTGATCCCACACAGCTTTTCCCGGTACCAGTACAAAACTCAGCTGAAGTTTGTAAAACAGCCTTTATTGTTTTTTTGGTTTTTTGTTTTTTTTTTTTTTTTTTTTCTTTTTGAGCATCAGTTCTTGGGAAGTAAAACCCACAGAATGAGCTACAGAGTTCCCGTAAGTGCCCTCAGCTTGTTTTCACCTGGTCAAGAGAGAAGGGTGAGAAAGTGAAGGGACAGGAAACAGCTCACATGGAGGCTGAGCCAGTTCTATAAAAACCCTCAAAACAAGCACTGAAACTGAAGTCTCCTTCCCTGACAACTTTATACAGAGTGTAGCTTATGAGAGACTGCTGAAAAAAAAGAATTGAAAAAATTGAATTGTGTGAGCTCAACTCAGTCCGCGAGCATCCATGCCTTTGGAAGGGAACCCCTTGCAGTGTGTAAACATTTATTGTGTCAGTGACATCAGAGAGAACATTTCCATCGACTCCAGAGCATCCAACTCACCCCAAAATCATCTTCTCATGCCTGGGAGGAGAACCAAGAGAGCTTATTGTGTTTAATCAGTGTCGCTGCCTTTTGGAGGAAAATGGTTGTTTAAAGCCTGATTCTTGACGCTTTTTTTTTTTTTTTGAAAACACAATATGCAGGGAATGTTTGGCTGAGTTACATTTTAACTCAGTGGAATTGAGTGGTTGGAGTTAAAACACACATGGCAAGTGTTTCTGATATTTCTTTTGGTTTTGTAGCAACTGTTGCAAGACTGTACAAATTGTTCACATTCTTTTGAAAATATACTGATTTCCAAGAGCAGTAAATTGGTGGCTGTTCAGCCAAATCCATCCCCAGGTATCATGAGATATCCTTGAAGTTACAGAGTGGGTGGACTCAGCTGAAGAGCTGTAACTAATTAAAAATAAGGGGGTAAATTAATTCTTCCTTGTCGCTGCTTTGCATAGCTACCAAAAATTGTAAACATTAGGATCATGCAAGGACCTGGTGGAAAAAAATCACAGCAATCTGTGAACTTAACTTCTGGTCTATCAGTGAAATCACCCTGGCAAGGACTCCTCTCTTTTTTAAAAGAAGCATCAACTGAACAGGTTGAGCTGAGCTTTTTTGGGGCAGATTCATCTCTGGACCACACACAGAAGGGAGTGAGAACCTGAGTGGTACCACCAGCGCCATCAAACCCACCTGCACTGACCCCAGGGCCACCATGGGGTGCCCCAAGGGGTCCAAAGGCAAAAGTCACCTGCCCACGTCCCCCTTGACAGCTTAGAGGGGAAGAAAGTCACCTGGAGCAAGGGAAGGTGCCACTCTCTGGATGTTTGAGGAGAATTTGTCTTGCAGAGGGTCTTGCACCAGCTGCAGGTGCAAATTCTGGGATGCGTCAGCAATTAGGGAGCAAACAGAGCTGGGTGAGGAGGGAAAGGAGGAGCAGAGCAGGAGGGTGAGGGCAGAAAGGGGGAGCAGAGGTCACTGGTGACCAGTGGGATGCACCAAACCCAGGAGCACATGGAAACCACCTGCACTCCTCCACCTGTCCACAGCCCCACTGCACAAACCACAGTGTCCTTCGGTTGCTACTGGCCAGTTTTAGGTTCTTGTGTGGTGTTCCCAGAGCAGATCCTTCAGCAGATGTCAGTGTGTGAATGTGGGATTGTCTCTGGCTTGGTCATAGAGCCTGTAACTGGGAAGCAGAAGAAAAACCTGGGACTTTTCCACCATTTCCCAGTAAAAGTTTTTCACTCCCTCCTGTGTATTGTCTAGTCCAGAGAGGTCAGGTGGGGATGGCACAGGGTGGGGACAGTCACACCAAGTGGGCCACTCACCAGATTCCAACACACCAGTCTTAGGATTTATCTTCTATATACTGAAAAAATTCCTCTGTCCCAAAACTCCTGTGGATAAACCTGCAGGATCTTCCACAACAGTAATGGAGTATCTTAGACCAGTCTCAGATTTCATATGAGGTACCTTGGTTTTCCCTTGTTTTTTTCTTGTCATTCCTTCATCGACGAGGCGCTCTCCTTGCTCATGAGCCGGCTCCGGATGGCCATGCTGCTGTGCCTGGAAATCTCTTCCTGGAACTCAGAAGTCATGAAGAAATAGATGATGGGATCCAAGCAGCAGTCGAAGCTGGCGAGGCTCAGGCAGAAGGGCTGGGTGTAGAGCGTGATGGTGCTCAGGAAGCAGTCGGTGATGACATTCTCCTTCACCAACATGTAGAAGAAAAAGTTGATGTGGTAGGGAGCAAAACACACACAGAACACAATGGCACACATGGAAACCATCTTGATGGCCTTCCTCCTCTCCCCACTGCTCTCCTGTGGGATGTGGAAGCCCCGGATGGAGTCTCTTGTCTTCCAGGTGCAGAACAAGATGATGACCAGCGGCCCCACGAACCCCAGGAGCTCGGCGGTGCCCGTCATCAGCACCGTGCCCACCTTGCTGTCGATCGGCTTCACACCCAGGTCTGCAAAGCAGCTGGTGGTGTTGGCACCCAGCCCGTGGCTCCTCATGATGGGGAAGGGCACGCAGGCAGCCCCCACCACGAGCCACACCAGGGTGCTGATGGCCACATCATAGCGGCGCTTCCAGCCCTTGGCTCGGAAGGGGTGGTACAGGAAGAAGTAGCGCTGGATGCTGATGCAGGTGAGGAAGCAGATGCTGGCGTACATGTTGAGGTACTTCAGGTAGAAGCACAGCAAGCACAGGACATCCCCAAAGGGCCAGGTGTGGTTGATGTAGTAGTAGATGCGCAGGGGCAGCGAGAGGACGTGGGCCAGGTCAGCCACGGCCAGGTTGATCATGAAGATGACGGCTTTGCTCTTCCTGCTGAGGAACCTGCACAGGACCCACAGGGCAGCGCCGTTGGCCAGGAGCCCCGGGATGAAGATGAGGGTGTAGGTGGTGGCATAGAGGCTGCTCTTGAAGGTGATGTCCTGGCGGGAGCAGCTCTGGTTGCTCTGGGTCATGGCTGGGCTGCTGGATGAGGCTGTGCTGGTGTAGGGTGGGTGGATCATTCCTGGGGAGAAAAAAAGAGGGATGTGAAGGCAAAGGCACTGCAGAGTTGTCAATGCTCACATCTGCATTTCCCATCTGGCTGTTCAGCACAAAGCAGAGGTTTGGGAATGTTGTCTGCGTGAAACATCCTGGAATCGTGTTCAGAGCTGCCCTGTCAGAGATCCCACTGTTCCCACACCACTCCTGGTGTGTCGGTCCCAGGAGCACAAGTGAAGCTGTGCCACACTGAGCAGCAGCACGAGAAGCTGCCCATCCTTTGGCCAGCTCCTCCAGGTCTCCTGTGATTTGGTCTCTGGGAGCAAGGCAGGAATACATGGATGGAAGGTGAGCATATCCCAGCCTCCACAATGGCCCAACGCTCAGAGTGTGGGTGCCAAGCACTGAATCATGATCTGGGTTGGAAAGGACCTTAAAGCCCCTCCAGTGCCACCCCTGTCATGGACAGGGACACCTTCCACTGCCCAACCTGGCCTTGAGCACTTCTGGGGATATGCTGGGCTGTGTTGGGCATTGTGTGGGTGACAAGCCTCCTGAGCCTCTCAGAAGACCTCATGGACCCATGTTCTCTGGCACTATGGGCACAGACCACATACAAAAGGGTAGTAGGGAGTGGGCTTGGAAAATGTGACTGCTGTGAACACAGCCAGTGCTCCTGAAGAGTTCTGTTAATGTATTTAAGCTGATGGAACACACAGAGACCTGGTCACGCCACCAGCTTCTATTTCCCATCACCATGGCAGCCTCAGTCTGACTCTTTTTTCCGTCAGATAATTTTACTGTTTAGGTACTGCCAATTTCTGCCTCTCGGCCATCAGCAGAATGCCACGTGTTGAACTGTTGGGTCAGCTTTCTCTTGCCAGCTTTTTGTAACTGGGACCAGTAAGTTTGGTAACTTGTTCTCAGCAAGGCAACACAGGCAGGAGGAGTTGGGGTTTATCGAGGGTTTCCTCCCAGGATTATAATTCTCATTATAGTGATTCCCTCTCATATTGAATATAACGGTTAAAGCTAAAAATCAGCTTCATGTGGCACTGCAGACACTGATTCACTCCTCTGACTCATTTCCTGCAAAGGGCATTTGCCAGAAAAACTGTCTCTGTAGGTAGAAATTAGTAACTCCTACTCTGTTACTAAAGCTTTTTCCTTGGCGTTACCAGAAGAGTTGAATTTAGAGCTCTCAGTGACACAGAGCACAAATAACTGGGTTTTCTGCCTCTTAATCCTTGTGGTGCTGCATTTGGCAGCTCCTCCAGACACTGCTCCAGGCTGCCATGGGAGGGTTGGGATTCAGCCCCCAAAACGTGTCCAAGTCTCATATGGGACATGGGCAGTGAGCAGGGTAACTCTGCTCCTGCAGGCTCCCCAGACAGATTCTTGCTTTTCTTTCTCAGCTTCTTTTTTCACTGTCCCACATCCTTCAAAAAGCAAGGTCTGTGTGTTTATCCCCTGCAGGATCCTCAACTTCAGCAGCTGCTCCAAGCACCAGGGAAGTGCTGCCTTTGGGAAGCTCTCTCCTCATCCCCCTCCTGCACCAAGATGCTTCACCAGCCCCTCAGAGCTGCTTTTGTCCCTCCAGCTCCCTCCCAATCCCCCTCATCTCTGGCACAGGATGCTCTGCTCCGTGTTCCCCAGCAGCCCCATCCCAGACACCCCAGCCTTGCTCCTGCCACGAGGCCACGACAGCCCCAAGAGGAGGGAAGAGGCTCAAACTGTGACGGAAACACAGAAGAAAAAATCATCTGGCTCAAGGATTTCTCTCCCCTGAGAAGCAGCAATGGAGGCTCTCCATTGGGGTTGTCAGGACAGGGAGTGAACAGGGACTGGAGCTGAGCATGGGGGTGTTCCTCTCCTCAGAGTGTGGATGTGGTTACATCCCATTTCCTAGGACAGCTGGGAATTTCTGCTGCTCAGGAGGTTTCATCCCATTCCAGCTGCTATCCAGCTGGCCCTGGCCTTGTCTCTGGTAAAAGCAGTGCCCACTGCACCTTCTGTCCTTTCAAGTCACCTCTCCCTTTGCCAAGAAACCATTTTCCAGGTCCTCATGTGCCTGGTTTTCCTTGGATATCACAGCTGGGTCTGCCTGCTGCTCCTCCAGACAAGGTTGGTGGATGGCCATTAAAATCACATAGGATTAGGTACACCTGCATGTTATATTTTAAAGACCCTTTTATAATTAATTATTATCTAATTAAATGCTGGCCAGTGTGTGGTTTCAGTCCAATGAGTGACAACAGCCGATTTGCTTATCAAGGCCCTTAAATACAGCCAGGCTTTATTTAGTCCCTTCCAGCCCAGAATATTCTGTGATTTAGGTCTCATGTGACACGAAGGACAATTGGGGTGAGAGGGTAAAGGTCTGCTGACTCAAACTGGGCTCTGACCAGAGGTTTTAGGGCAAACTGCTGTGTCCAGGGTGTGTCCCTGGAACACGAGGGTGATGCTGAGGGCTCACACTCCATCCCAGAGCTCAGCTTGGCTCTCTGGTGGGACAAACCCTGCCCAGGGCCCTGGGGGGAGCCCAGAGCATGGAGAGCTTCCCCCTCACCCATCACCTTCATCTGCTAATTGTCCACAAGGTGTCAGAGTTCATCCAAATTTCATTTCTTGGCTCTCTTTAAGGGTTTTTTCTCACCCCCAAGTGTTGTCTGAGTGGCAGCAGTGGGAGTTATGAGTCCACCTTGCCATCATTTAGAAAGATCCCAAACTGAAAACATCCAGTGTTGCTGAATAACTGATATTAGAGGAAAAAATTGCGCCCAGGAGTGGGCCTGGTTGCTGGTATCTTTTCTGATGATCTTTAAAAGTCTTTTCCAACCTAAATGATTCTGTTATTCAATTTGCAGGTAGAAGAATCCTGAAAAGCTGCACATCGATGGAGATCATGGAGCTGTGGTGCAGCTTGGAGCCAGGAGGTTCTAAAACCCATCCTGCAGGTGATGTCCCAGCCCCACCACCCCAGCAGATCTAAACACAGAGATTGGGATCAGGACTGGATGCCCTGGAGTCAGGAAATTCCTCTCTGCATTCAGGGAACTCAGGGTCTGAGCAGGGTGACCTGGCTGGCAGTGCCCACAATTAATATATTACCACAGTTAATACATTAATGAATACATTAATACAATTAATGTGCACAGAGTGGTGTCTGCTGGCTCATCAGCAGGGCCCTTTCTGAGGATGAAGGATTTCATTACAAAACCATAAAAACATAACAAGATTAAACCATCTCCTTAATCAAAAAGCACCCAGGCACAAGGCACTACAAAATTACTGCATTTCTGCCTTTCCTCTCACTTTGGCTCAGACTGAGGCTTAATTCCACACCAACCCCTTCTCTTCCCACTTGCACACAAAAGCAGACACTTGAGATACCACTGATGGTCCTAAAATTCCATTTCCAAATCCTTCACTGTGTGGTGGGTGTGCAGCAGAGGCTGCAGAAGCCTGAAATCTCCAGTAGATTTTATCCAGTAGATTTTAACTCTCATTTACATCCTGCAGAGAGGTGGCTCCCACTGCAACATTGCTTTCAGAATATGATTTTTTTTAAATGGTATCAAATAAACACACCAAGATCCAACCACTGTTTTTTGTGTTTTTGTGAGACTCGGTATCCCTGATGCTGCTGCAATAAGGATATAAGAAGTGAGCAGGTTACTACTGGAGCTTTGGAAACTAAGCATAACATTCCTAGGCAAAAGATGTTCATCTGGATAGGCTGAGAAGCACAGGGATGTCATTCCAGATCCTGGATCTGTCTGAGGTGCTCATCAGAGCCAGGTTAATTGATTTGATTGCAGCACAAACATCTCCACACTCTGCCCTCAGTGCATGGCCATGACACCAGAGTGAAACCTCTGCACTCGGAGTGGAACATTCTACAGTTAAAGGTGCTTTTTTTGGTTCTCTTTCACAGAAAAAGAGCAGCTCTGGGCTGTCTGCTGTATTTTCGTTTTGCAGCACTGGTTGAACTCCTTCCTGCAGCTCCAGCACAGACACCAAGAGCCCCCTCAGGGCGCTGGCTCCAGGCTGGGCAAGGGCTGTCCCACACCTGCATTTCCCCCATGGATGGAATTCCCATGGCTGATGTTGTTGGCAATGGTGCCAGTCCCACCACTTTTACTTGACACCAAAAATATGCACATAAAAAAAAAAAAAAAAAACAAACCAAAGCACTATCCCTGCACATCTCCTGCTCCAGCCAGCTGAGGAATCCCCTCCTGCAGATCCTGACACCCTGACTCACCTTCTGCCAGAGTCCCTCTTGGTCCACTTGCAGAAATCTCGGATTCAGGGGCCACCCACCCTAAATCCTGTCTGGGAGCACCCCAGGGGCTGTTTGCTGGGCTCACAGCAGAGCTGAGCTGCTGGTGCAAGCGAAAGCAAAGCCAGCAGAAAAGCACTTCTTACAAAGTACAGCTGGAAACCTGCAGCCTGTGAAGTCAGGTTTAAAACCTGCAGCCCATGAAGTTTAAAACCTGCAGCCCGTGAAGTTTAAAACCTGCAGCCCGTGAAGTTTAGAACCTGCAGCTGGTGAAGCTACGTTTAAAACCTGCAGCCCATGAAGTTTAAAATCTCCAGCCCATCAAGTCAAGTTTTAATCCAGAGCAGCGACTGCAGTCTGAGTTAAGAATTAAAACCACTTCAAGATTCTCATTAGTTAAAGCAAGCAATCCCGCTATTTTTTGTCATCTCGTGTCCCCTCACTATCATCAATTTCCTCCTGTTGCTGCTCACTCACAGAGCCTTAGATGGCACAAAGATGGGCAGCACATGAATTTTATTTTATAGCAATATAAACCCCCGTTGGAAAAAAAAACCAACAAAACCAGATTTGCACGTTACACTTACAGTCAAGTATGACTTTAAAATAAAATAAATTCCCGGAGGAATCAGGTAAGAGACGGAAATTATCGCTATTAACGACACTGGAGAGCGGCTGGAGCACCGCTAATTGCCCACGCCTGACATTTGTTTTTGCAGGCGCAGCAGCCGCTGCTGCTGCAGGGCTCCAAGTGCCACAAATCTCCTCCTGGCAAGAGCCACCCGCTGAGGAAAAGCCCGAGGAAAGGGATGTTTGTGCAGGCAGCAGCACGGGTGGGGTTCTGGTTCCAAGGAGAGGGAAAAGCAGCCTTACCTTGGCAGGCAGAGCCGTGCTCAGCGCAGCCGGGCGCTCGGGAGGAAGTGGGATGTCCCCTGCACCACTGTTTACACAGGGGACCTGGGTGACATCAAGAGGTGGCACAAAAGGTGCTGCTTTGGGTGTGGTTTCAGCCCTGCTCCCAGCCCTGCCAGCTCCGTCCCGGCCAGGTGTCCCCACAATGTCCCCAAAATGGGATCAGGTGCCTTGGTCCCAGGTGTTTTCTGTCCTGTGGCTCTGCTGGGTTAGCTCGGCATCCACTGGGAAGATTCCAAGTGGAATTGGGTGCAGGGCACCCCTTCCTCCTCCCCAAGCCTTCCTCCCCTCCAACTCTTCCTCCCCTCCAACTCTTCCTTCCTTCCAACTCTTCCACCTCTCCAAGCCTTCCACCTCCCCAAGCCTTCCTCCCCTCCAACTCTTCCTCCCCTCCAACTCTTCCACCTCTTCAAGCCTTCCACCTCCCCAAGCCTTCCTCCCTTCCAACTCTTCCTCCTCTCCAACTCTTCCTTCCTTCCAACTCTTCCACCTCTCCAAGCCTTCCACCTCCCCAAGCCTTCCTTCCTTCCAACTCTTCCTCCTCTCCAAGCCTTCCTCCCCTCCAACTCTTCCACCTCTCCAAGCCTTCCTCCCTTCCAACTCTTCCTCCTCTCCAAGCACAGCTCTGAGCACACCATGGCAATGCTCCCGAGGTTTCTGGCTGCTCCTGCCTGGCAGCTCAGCCCTGCTGTCCCCTCCTGCCCCTGGGGCTCAGGACCTGCTGCTCTGCTCCAGCTCAATCCTCCTGCAGAAGAGGTCTGACTTCCCAATTGCTTTTTTTAGCACAGTGTGAGCCTTGCCTGACATTTGTCCTGAACTAAATAAGTCCCCAGCTCGATTTACACTCGCTGGATCCCTGTGCCAGCAATGTCCAAGCGTGGCACTTCTGACATTGCTGCAAGGAATGGGCACAGATCCAGCCTCACCTTATCCCGGGGGATAAATTCACGGCTGGGGCTGCAACTTTACGCCCTTGGAGGACGTCACTGTTTGGATTTTCAGAAAGCCACCAGGAATCTGCTTTGCCTCTCTGGGAACTGGCTCCCAGCACTCAGTGCCTCCCATTCTCTCTGCTCTGTTGAGGTTTGAGAGTGTGAGGTCAAACCTCAGAGCAGCTGCTACCTGACGTGAGGACAGTGTCAGTGTCTGACAGCACAGAAACCTCAGAAACTCACAACTGATGGCTCTCATGGCATGAGCACCCCCTGAAATGCAGTGCTGTGCTTTCCAGACCGTCTCGTTTCCATCTGTTGTCAAAGGAGGTTGGTAGAAGTTGGGAGCTTGCCAGGTGTTTATTTTGAAATTATTTATATGGACCTCATGAAAAGTAATAGTGAGGTTTTGGCTGGTGCTGCAGTGTTTATCAGCACATCCTGTTTAGCTGATTTTTTTTTTTCCCTCAGCAATGGAAACATATCTGCTGGAATTTATCCAATCATAAAATTGTCTTTCACATAAAATCACTGCACTCTGCAGCCTGGAAAGCTGAGAATTTGGGAACAGAAGTTCCCTGAGTGACCCCGCCAGCATCTGTGGTAAACAAACATTTCATAGAATCACAGAATAGAATCACAGAATCACAGAATCACAGAATCATAGAATCACAGAATCATGCCATGGTTTGGAATGGGAAGGAGTTTAAAGTTTATCTTGTTCCACTCCCTGCCATGGGCAGGGACACCTTCCCCCATCCCAGGCTGCTCCAAGCTCTGTCCAGCCCAGCCTTGGACACTTCCAGGGATCCAGGGACAGCCAAAACCTCTTTGGGTACCTGTGCCAGGTCACCACCACCTTCACTATCAGCTCTTGTGCTGATGCTCTTCTTGCTCCATCTAGGACAGGTTTGACTGATCTGAGCAAAAGCCACAATCCTTGTCAAAAAAAAAAAAAAAAAAAAAAAAAAAAGAGAAGGAAAAGATGCAGCTGCTGTTCCTGCCTTTCCCCATGGCCATAAATTGCTCTGGTTTGGGGCAGGTGGTTACATGAGAGTTTTAGGACTGCAGAGGAAATTTAAAAGCACAATTCATTGCACCTGCTGAATATCCTGCAGAATTTCTTCTTCCCTGAATAAGTGCAGTTGCAGAGCCCTGTTTACTGGGGTGGTTTATCAGTTATCCTGCAGACAAAGGCTCAGGAAGTGGCTTTTTCTGCTGATAAACCAGAACTGCCCAGAGATTTTGCATACAGTTATGCTGGGTCTGATGGAATTTTCCTACAGAGCTCCTTGCCTCGTTATGGGGGTAAAACTTCTTTTTGTGCAGCATAAGGCTCTTCCTCCTCCTGGTTATGGCTTCCCAGAAATATCCATTACCACAATTACCTGGATTAAAGGAGAATTTGGATCCCGCAAGGCCACCTGGACTTCAGTGCCATCATTATGTGACAGATAATTGAGCAATACCATGGTTTTAACTAAAAAAAAAAAAAAAATAGCCCCAGTTTTGTCTGCTTGCTGTTCAAGAGCTGGGTTTGATATGCAACAATCCCAAACAGAAAGAAATTTCCATGGTTTTTCCATGCTCCTGTTTCCTTTCCAAGTTCTTTCCCCAAATCCAAAATTAAGTGGCTGCTCTGTGGCTTTTTTTTATGGTTTAGTCAAAAGAACTGTAACTGGCTTTTTAGAGGTTTTTCACATCTACAAGGGGAGAAATCAAATAAGGAAAAATACCTCCCATAAAACAGATTACAGCCCTTCAGTGGGAACTAGAGGAAAAGCAGCTGCATTTCTAAATTATTATTGAGATAGGTGTGTAATTTATGAAAATGTGGTATTTGGTATATAGAAAAAGTAATATAATACATTGTATAGTATTATTAATATATCAATATTCATAATAGTGCATAATTATTAAAATTTTTCTAAAATCACAGAATTGCAGGATGTTTGGATGGGAAGTGACCTCAAAGTCCATTCAGCTCCACCCCTGCCATGGGCAGGGACACCTCTCACTATCCCAGGTTGCTCCAAGCTCTGTCCAACCTGGCCTTGGACACTTCCAAGGATGGGGCATCCAATAAATAATAATTATATTGGATGGAGCAGCCAATAAATAATATAAAGATTTAGATTTCATGTCCTTTTTCTTTTTTTGCTGTCAAGTCTTTGGAGTGTGGAAGAGCAGACATTCAACAAAAGATCACACCAAGAAATGTATCTGTTTGGCCAAAAGTTATACTCTGACAAGGAGAAAAGAAATAATTTTATCCTGAATCAGTGATTCTTCCTACAGAGAATTTAAAGGATTATTTAAAGGAGAGTGAAATGTATATATGGAGGTTAAATTACGTAACAGTGTTGTTTACTCTAATATATCAGATAACAGAAAAAGGAACAGAGAATGATAAACATTTCCAAATTCTTCTCTTTTATTTCTGGTTTGGGGCCTCATGCTGACAATAATTTTTCCTCTTGTTACAAAAAGGAGCAGCAGGCACATGGAAAAAGCCAGAAGGGGGTGTTCTGTGAGAAATAACTTCTAATTACCTGCATTTTCTGAAATATCATTGCTCATTAGTGCCTCTCTCTCTGCTGTTACAGAGCTACAATTGCACCACGTCGTTAACTCACGGCGTTAACGATTTCCTCTGCCCCCAGCACACACACACACACTCCTGTCCAAAAGAGAGGCTGATTCTGTTCCAAAGAAATCGATTTTTAATTCAAACCAGCAGCTTTTCCTAGCGGAGCTGCCCAGTAGCTCTGTCTCAGCCCATCCCTGTGTCCCAGGGCAGCCGTTCCCTTCCGTGGGCGCTTGGAATTGGGGATAAATAACGAGCTGAAAACCTTCACACCAAGGGTTTCCACCTTGGGAACTGAAATATTCCTCCCTGACAGCAGAAAGAGAAAGGAAATCTTGGAATGCTGCTGCCCAAACCCTTCAGAGCAGCTGAGCACCTTGAATCCCTGGAGCTGGAGGAGTCTGAGGAGATTTTCCAATGGGAGATCCAGGGTTTGCCAGTGCTGGCCACAGGGATTTGCCTGTCAGAACCATTGCTCTTTGTCAGAGTCATTTACTTCCTAAATTCTGTTTTTTAGCAGGAACTAAAAAGGAGAAAATGTGCCTTCCCCTCTAATCAACCAGAGCCTCTGAGAAGTATTTTCCATGCAGCTGATGCTAAAAATAATCATTGGTTTTCTTTGCTGAAACTTCTCCTTCATCCCTTGCAGCTCAGAGTCCTTTGACAGACAGTTTCCAGCAGCCTTTTTGGAGGGGTTAAATGAAAATTTTGAGGGAAAGAGACCTGGGGAGGAAAATGAACTCTTAGTTTTGCCTGTGGTGGTTTTAATTTGTTTGCCCAGTTTAATTTCTTTGCAGAAGTTCTGTTCCCAAGGGGGTCTTTGTAGTGGTGAGTTACTCTGGAGCAGCTGCCACAAGCTGGCATTTGAAATTCCTTTTCCTTACGTGCACAGGGAATTGAGTTCATTGTTTGTGTTGCTTTTGGAGATTTATGCTAAAGCCATTGCTCTAGTTTTCCCAGGAGAGAATCACCAGCACAATCTGGTGAGATCCAGCTAAATGTAAAGGTTATAATTTGTTAATTGAGAGCTTCCAGCAAAAAAGAGCTACTGGTGTTGGAATACCAACCTCAGGGAACCAACTCAGCCTGGAGCTACCTCCTGGAATTCTGTCACCTCTCACCCACAGGTGCCTCACCTCTCTGTAGAGGCAGGACAAGTCTGAGAGCTGTCAGACACATCCCAAACCACCCTGGGATCCCACAGTCCAAAAGCCAATGTCCCAAATGTCATCTGTGACACTGGCACAGCCTCCCAATGAAAGCTGCAAAGAGAAGGTTGAGAATTTTCATGAGAACTCAAGACAAACCCAGGGATCTCCATGGGGAATTCCCGAGACCGGAAAACCTCCCCCAACCAATATGTTGAACCCCAGTCATGTTCTTCATCACATTTTCTTCATGAGGCTCTGCTTCCCCTTTCACTTCATCTGGGAATAGCACAAAAGACTCCAGCAAAGACAGAACTTG